CCCCAAAACCCCAAAACCCCAAAACCCCATGTATCAAAGATATATTGATGATTGAATTGAATGTGAATATTGAAATGTTATTGGCAAATAAGCTTATTTAACAATCTAAAAGCTCTACTCTATATCTTAATTTATTGCACTAGTGCAAATATAAATCAACTCAAACACTCAAACTTTTAAGAACTACTTAATTTGTTTTCAACCAATAAAGAACTTACTTCGATATGGAATCCAGTAAACAAGCTTAACAAAGCGAAGAGAAACAACAAAGCAGAAAGAGATACGATCACTTGAGAGCAATTGAAAAACAGATGAATGAAGTGCATCTCACAACTAAAGTAGCTGAGGCATCTCCTCTCGAAGGCTACGAAAACATGTCTTTTGAGGAAAAGAATCAAGGCAAATACTTCACCACATTCCCTTATCCTTATATGAATGGTTTCATGCATCTTGGTAAGTTTAATAATAGCCACTACCACAATTACTGCAATGCATTGCAAAAAATGAATTCATTTTGGTTTTAAGAAGGTTATTTAATATAATATAGGTCATGCTTTCTCACTTTCAAAGTGCGAGTTTTCCGTCAGATATCAGAAACAACTTGGAAAGAATGTGCTATTCCCTTTTGCCTTCCATTGCACAGGTATGCCAATTCAAGCAGCAGCCTACAGACTCAAAAGAGAGATCCGCACTGGAAATATTACTTCTCCAGGGGCACTCCCAGGCCAGCCAAAGCATTCAACCTAATATGAGATCTTGCAATAGCTCGGAATCTCTGAGGAAGATATCCCCAAGTTCCAAGACCCACTTCACTGGCTCCACTTCTTCCCACCTCACGGCATGCAGGACTTGAAGGATTTCGGTCTCTACACTGATTGGAGAAGATCATTCATCACCACTGAAGTTAATCCATTTTACGATTCATTTGTGCAGTGGCAATTCAATACTCTTAAAGCCAAGGACAAGATTAGATTTGGAAACAGACCAGCAATCTTCTCAGAGACTGACAACCAACCATGCGCAGATCATGATAGATCCAAAGGAGAGGGTGTTGGACCACAAGAGTACACCTTGATTAAGATTAGATGCTTGGAACTCCCAGCCAGTATGCAAGAGAAATTCGCTGACAAGACTGTTTTCCTTGTTGCTGCCACTCTTAGACCAGAAACTATGTATGGACAAACTAACTGCTATGTCTTGCCTGAAGGTGAGTATGGAGTATTCGAGATGATTAATAACGAGTACTACGTCTGCTCAGAGAGATCAGCCAGAAACATGTCATTCCAAAACATGACTAAAGAACACAAGCAATATCCATGCCTCCAAAAGGTATCAGGACAGGAATTGATTGGTCTTAAATTAAAAGCACCACTTACCAAGTACGAATACGTCTATGCTCTCCCCATGACTACCATCAGCATGTTCAAGGGTACAGGTATTGTAACAAGTGTTCCATCAGATGCCCCAGATGACTGGGCTGCTCTTAGAGATCTCCAAACCAAAAAGGGACTGAGAGAAAAATACAATGTATTGGAAGAATGGTGCAATCCATTTGAGCCAATTCCAATTATTGAGATTCCTGGATTTGGAAATATGGCTGCAGTTAAACTAGTTGAGGAAATGAAAATCTAATCTCAGAAGGACAAGGACAAGCTTACTGAGGCTAAGGACAAGGTCTACTTGAAGGGCTTCTACGAGGGAGTGATGCTTCTCGGGCCCTGTGCAAACATGAAGGTTCAGGATGCCAAGCCAATAGTCAGAAAGCAATTGATTGATAACAACGAGGCAGCTGTGTACTACGAACCAGAAAATGAAGTCACGTCAAGAAGTGGCGATAACTGCGTCGTAGCACTCTGCGATTAATGGTTCTTGACCTATGGTGAAGAGTAATGGAAGGAAACTGTTAAGGCTCACGTTAAATCTGAAAACTTCAATGCATACACCCCTAAGACTCAATAGGAATTCGAAGAGACTCTTGAATGGCTTAGAGAATGGGCTTGCTCTAGATCAGTTGGTCTTGGTACTAAACTCCCATGGGATACTCAATTCTTGATTGAATCTCTTTCAGACTCCACCATCTATATGGCTTACTATACAGTAGCTCATCTCCTCCAAGCAGGTTCTTTTGACGGCTCAGTCGAAGGTCCTCTTGGCATTAAGGCCTCAGACTTGAACGATGCAGTTTGGGAGTACATCTTTAAATAGGGAGCTTACCCCGAGGGTTGTGCCATTCCAGAGGAGTCCCTTAAGAAACTCAGAGGTGAATTTGAGTACTGGTATCCTCTAGACATGAGAGCTTCAGGCAAGGACTTGATCAGAAATCACTTGACCATGTCACTTTACAACCATGCAGCAGTGTGGGAAGACCCCAAGTACATGCCAAGAAGCATTTTCTGCAATGGCTGGATCCTTGTCAACGGACTCAAGATGTCCAAGTCAACTGGCAACTTCCTCACCATTAGAGAGTGCATTGAGAAGTACGGAGTAGACGCTACTAGAATGGCTCTGGCTGATGCAGGTGATAGCTTGGATGATGCCAACTTCGACGAGAACGTAGCTAACAGCGCTATCTTGAGACTCTTCGTGCTCGAAAAGTGGATCTCTGAAGAGGTCAAGAAGCACGTCCCAGCTGAAGGACTTGACTTTGCAAACCAACCCCAACACGATCTCTGGGATCAAATCTTGGACAACGAATTGAACTACGCGATTGAATTGACAACCAAGAGCTACAACGACATGAGATTCAAGCAAGCCTTGAAGCACGGTTTCTTCGAACTCCAAGCTCTTAAGGAAGACTACTTGATCGCAAAGCATGGAAACGTCAACCCATTCTTGTTGCTCAAGTACGTTGAGACCCAACTCATTCTCATCAACCCAATAGTACCTCACTTTGCTGACTACTGCTACTAGACACACGTTCTCCCCATTCTAGAGAAGTCAGTCAACCTCTAAAAACCAGCTTAAAAGTTGCTCATCAACCAAGGATGGCCCAAGGCAAGCAAGGCTGTTGACTCTGGCAAAACTAAGAGAGTATACGACTACATGAAATCAGTAAAGAGTAACGTCAGAATGGCCCTAGAAAAGGCAAAGCATGGAGGCAAGAAGGGAGCTAAGGCTGCCAAGGGCAAGGGCAAGGAAGCTGCCCCAGTTGAAGAGAAAGGCCTAGAAAGCTGTGTCCTCTTTGTGGCTCTCGAATACCCAGAGTGGCAGAAAAACACCCTTGAAACTCTCCAGTAATTCGAATTCATAGACAACAAGATCCAAGGAAACTACATCCAAGCTGTTAAATCCAGCATCACTGGGCCAAAGCAAGGTTTGGCTTTGAAATTCGCAGCCTTCATTGCAAAGGAGGCAGAGACAGTTGGAAAAGAAGCCGCTCTAGAAATCGCCACCCCCTTCAACGAGGTAGATATCATTGACTAAAACAGACAGTACTTGTTTGAGAACATGCCAGGCATCAAGAACATCAGTGTCTACCCAGCCACCACCGATGTTGAAATCGAGAACTCCAAGAACTCCAGAGAAGCTGCTCTCCCAGGCAAACCCAGCTGCTTCTTCTTTTGAAAAGCCACACTTTAATGAAGATGATGCAATTAACTCAATTAACTGATAATTATCAATTATTCTAGTTTATTAAACTATTACAAATATAATGTCTTCGTGGGGTTTTGGGGTTTTGGGGTTTTGGGGTTTTGGGG